GGCTGGACATACAGACAGTGACCAATGTGAGGGAGGGGGTGGGGTGGTGGGTTCGGGAAGGTGGCTGGTGTGTGGGGAACATTTCACAACTACAACTGCTTTGACATCAGTTAGGTCATTTTGGAGGATCTTCTTATCTTCGTATGTTATTCTCTAGTAAAACCCCTAGTCTTCGACACTTATGTGACCTAAAACTGTTTAGGATGGTGGCTGCTTCAATCTTGCATGAATCTAGTTGAATTTGGAGTGGTGGGTGGTGAGACTGGTGTTTTGACCTTTGCGTGAGCGTTATGATGCAACCCATTGTGCACATGCTTTACAGCAAAATCTTAACAAAGAGAAAAGAGCGTCGTTCATAAACAGTATGCAGTCAAGGAGTACATGTCTATGGTGGCAGTGTAATAACAGGCTTTATGCCATACATTCTAGTTGTTTTAACATTACACATCCGGTGGAATAAATCGTTATATTCACAAGTATAAGAAGATATTTTACATGTGAGATATAGATCTAAGAAGATATTTTACGCTTGAAATATCAGCTGTAATCAAAATTTGCATAAATTACTCTGCTCACTGTATTCATCTTTTAACCTTCAGCAAGCCAATATAGACTTGAATTACAGTACATATTCCTAAACTGTGCAATGCTATGGCAGCTGTTCTTTACTCTATAGAAAAACTTTTCAACAAAGCACACTCTCCATAGGCACCCAACGAAGTGCCAAACACCAGTCTCCCGGTCTTGCTATTGTCAGGAGTGGGCGCAACCTTTCTACCTTAAGTTTTTTCTAAATTTGAGTCAAATGGTGTGCACCGTAGTGAACCAAGATTACATGAGACTGCGATGATGTATTGTATAATAATACAATGCTCAAGTTTATGCTAGCAAATGACTCCCAGACTTTGGTTTGTTTTGGTGCGAGTCTGAAATCAGTCAAAGTCATCACTATCCTAACGACATCATGGCATATAAATGCATTTTCTTAATCTTTCGCCTTTTGAATCATATTTTTTTCTGCTGGTTTTCTTTTGTTTACATTATAATTGTTTTTGGGCTTATTTTGCTGATGGAGACATGCGGACAGCAGAATAGGCTTATGTAAATTAGGTTAGGTGGCTAAAAACAGAAGAAAAAAAAATCTAGATTTTTTTTGTTATCTTCACTCTGACGCTGATGAGCTTGAAAATTTTAGTTTCATGTGAAACTCTTGAGTGAGGCCACTTGACCACTTGACTGGTTACTTTTGACTTTGTTAGTCCACATCTTTTGCATCTGCTGATATCTGCATGACATTAGAAAATTATTACATTCTTTATGGTGGTAGACCATGATTTATCCTTCTCATGAAATTGCCAGTTGTAATCACTGGTTAAAACTCGTCATTATAACTTGGAAATTTCACTTGTAGAATAAATCATGATCTCTCACCATCATCATCATCATCCGGTGCCTTGCCTACTGGCGTGGGCGATCATGGACCTCCTCTTCCATCTGTCATGCATTGCAGCAGTGGTGTCTGTTGTTCTTGCTGCTCCCAGCCATGTTGTCAACTTGTCCAGTATCTTTTCCCTCTGCCTGCCTCTGCCTGCCTCTGCCTGCCTCTGCCTGCCTCTGCCTCTCTTTCCATCAAACTTGCCTGTTGTTACAATATTCATTGCTTCTCCCACCATAACTCATGTAATAAATTCTTTATCTCCCCTGATGCCCTGGGCAGGATGTATGACATACGTGTGGCACGAGAAGGGCATGGTGTTCACCGGTGACGCGCTGCTCATACGGGGCTGTGGACGCACCGACTTTCAGCAAGGTGACGGAGTGGATGGAGAGCACGCTGTCTGTGTCTCTGTCTTGTGTTTGTGTTTTAGATGTATTGGACCAGGGGG